CTCGGTTAATCAGACTAATACTTCTGTTGCTGGTAATTCTTTTGCTTGTGTTTCTCAATCTAGTACTCTTGCACCATGGGTCATGGACTCGGGTGCTTCTGATCATATCTCTGGTAATAAATCACTTTTGTCGAATATTATGTATTCACAGTCTCTTCCCACTGTTACTTTAGCCAATGAGTTTCAAACTAAAGCAAAAAGAGTTGGACAAGTTAATCCCCTATCTTCTGTTTCTCTAGATTCCGTTCTTTATGTTCCTGTCTGTCCTTTTAGTTTTGCATATGCTAGTCGTTTGACTCGTGCCCTCCATTGTGGTATATATTTATTGATGATTCTTTTATTATGCAGGACCGCAGTACGAGACTGAAGATTGGCACCGGGCGTGAATCAGAAAGTCTTTACTACCTTAACTCACTCAATCCCTCCACATCATGTCTAGTTACCGATCATGCAGACCTAATTCACAGACGTTTAGGACATCTTAGTTTATCCAAGCTTCAGAAGATGGTGCCTAGTTTGTCTACATTAGAATGTGAGTCGTGTCAGCTTGGGAAACATATCCGAGCCTCCTTTCCGCGTAGTGTTGAGAATAGTGTAGAGTATGTTTTCTCTTTAGTTCATTCTGATATATGGGGTCCTAGTAGAGTCAGTTCAACCTTGGGATTTTGTTATTTTGTTAGTTTCATTGATGATTATTCAAGATGTACTTGGCTTTTCTTAATGAAAGATCGTTTGGAGTTGTTTTCTATATTCCAGAATTTTTGTGCTAAAATCAAAAATCAATTTGGTGTTTCTCTATCCGCACTTTTCGCAATGATAATGCCTTAGAATATTTATCCTCTTAGTTTCAGCAGTTTACGACTTCTCAAGAAATTATTTATCAGAAAAATAAGGTTGAGAGAGAAAGAATAAGCACCACATGGCTGGCTTTTGCCTTGCAAAGCCTGCTTAATTCCTGGCTTTTGCCTTGCAAAGCCAGCCTAAAGCCAGCTCATGCCTGGCTAAAGCCAGCTCATGCCTGACTTTTGCCTTGTAAAGCCTGCCTAAAGCCAGCTCTAGCCTGGCTTTTGGCCTGCAAAGCCTGCCTAAAGCCAGCTCATGCCTGGCCTTTGCCTTGCAAAGCTTGCCTAAAGCCAGCTCAAGCCTGGCTTTTGCCTTGCAAAGCCTGCCTAAAGCCAGGCTCCTCTTCTACACATTAATTTTGATGAGTGAGCACATGATTAATACTTGAACAAAATCAGTCCACTGCATATGGAGATCATATAGTAGCTACACTTGGAAGACTATGCTGGCTTCAACTCTGTGGTGGATATGTTTGGAATTCATTTTAGCCTATGGACAATATACCCTGGCGCCTGGTGAGAGCTTGATAGGTGCTGCTTGGTATTTGCCAATGACAATTGGATTCACATACACTAATAGGAGAAGGAAGCATTCAACTTATCATGTTGTAATAGCTAGTTCATTAGATTTTAGCTTTTCTATCTTTTTAATAGCTAGTAGCTTCATGCAACTTCTATTTTGCTTTTGGACATCTTGTAAGCTTTGGACCCATTTTGGGATTTTATTTATATATTAGCCACTAGGCAAGTGCTGCCGAGTGGTATAGTTGCTTAAAAAAAAAGTACCACATTGAGACTGCTCGCACACTTCTCATTGAGTCTCGTGTTCCCTTGCGTGTTTGGGGCGATGCAGTTCTCACATCTTGTTATTTGATTAATCAGATGCCTTCATCTCCCATCCAAAATTAGATTCCTTACTCAGTATTGTTTCCCAGTGACCCTTTTACTCTCTTCCCCCTCGTGTTTTTGGGAGCACATGTTTCGTTCATAACTTAGCCCCTGGGAAAGATAAATTGGCTCCTCGTGTTGTCAAGTGTGTCTTCCTTGGTTATTCTCGTGTTCAGAAGGGATATCGTTGTTACTCACTTGATCTTCGTAGGTACCTTATGTCAGCTGACGTCACATTTTTTGAGTCTAAACCTTTCTTTACCTCTTTTGACCACCTTGATATATTTGAGGTGTTACCTATACCGACCTTTGAGGAGTTTACTATAGCTCCTCCTCTACCTTCGGCCACAAAAGTCTTACCCATACCAACCGTTGAGGAGTCTAGTATTGCTCCTCCTAGATCCCCAGCCACAGGAACACCACTCTTGACTTATCATCGTCGTCCGCGCCCAGCATCAGGCCCAGCTGATTCACGTCCTGCACCTGACCATGTTCCTACTGCGGACTTGTCTCTTCTTAATACACCAATTGCACTTCGGAAAGATATACAGACCACACTTAATCCTAATCCCCATTATGTCAGTTTAAGTTATCATCGTCTGTCATCACCCCATTATGCTCTTATATCTTCTTTGTCTTCTGTTTCCATCCCTAAGTCTACAGGTGATGCATTGTCTCATCCAGGATGGCGACATGCTATGAATGACGAGATGTCTGCTTTACATACGAGTGGTATTTGGGAGCTTGTTCCTCTTCCTTCAGGTAAATCTACTGTTGATTGTCGTTGGATTTATGCAGTCAAAGTTCGTCCGGATGGCCAAATTGATCGACTTAAGGCCCGTCTTGTTACCAAAGGATATATTCAGATATTTGGGCTCGATTACAGTGATACTTTATCTCCCGTGGCTAAAATAACATCGGTCCGCCTTTTTCTATCGATGGCTGCTGTTCGCCATTGGCCTCTCTATCAGCTGGACATTAAGAATGCTTTTCTTCACGGTGACCTTGAGGATGAAGTTTATATGGAGCAACCACCTGGTTTTGTTGCTCAGGGGGAGTCTCGTGACCTTGTATGTTGCTTGCGCCGGTCACTTTATGGTCTAAAGCAGTCTCCTCGAGCCTGGTTTGGTAAATTCAACACAGTTATTCAGGTGTTTGGCATGACTCGTAGTGAAGCTGATCACTCTGTGTTTTATCGGCATTCTCCTTCAAGTCTCTGTGTTTATCTGGTGGTCTATGTTGACAATATTGTTATTACCAGCAATGATCAGGATGGTTTTATTAAATTGAAGCAACATTTCTTTCTACACTTTCAGACTAAGGATCTGGGCAGATTAAAATATTTTTTTGGGTATTGAGGTCACTCAGTCTTGCTCAGGTATTGTGATCTCACAACGGAAATATACTTTAGACATTCTTGAGGAGACATGTATGACAGGCTGTAGACCTGTTGACACTCCGATGGATCCGAATTCTAAACTTCTGCCAGGACAAAGGGAGCCGTTTAGCGATCTTGCAAGATATATGCGGCTGATTGGTAAATTAAATTATCTCACAGTGACTAGACCTGACATTTCCTTTCCTGTGAGTGTTGTAAGTCAGTTTATGGATTCTTCCTGTGATAGTCATTGGGATGCAGTTGTCCGCATTCTAATGTATATAAAATCGGCTCCAGGCAAATGGTTATTGTTTGAGGATCGAGGCCATAAGTAGATTGTTGTATACTCAGATGCTGATTGGGCAGGATCACCTTCTGATAGACGTTCTACGTCTGGATATTGTATTTTAGTAGGAGGCAATTTGGTGTCTTGGAAGTGCAAGAAACAGAATGTAGTTGCTCGGTCTAGTGCAGAAGCAGAATATCGAGCAATGGCTATGACAACATGTGAGCTAGTTTGTATCAAACAATTGCTCAAGGAGTTGAAATTTGGTGAAATCAGCCAGATGGAACTTGTGCGCTCTAATCAAGCTGCCCTTCATATTGCATCAAATCCGGTGTTCCATGAAAGAACTAAACACATTGATATTGACTGTCACTTCGTCAGAAAAAAGATACTCTCAGGAGATATTGCTACAAAGTTTGTGATGTCGAATGATCAGTTTGCAGATATTTTCACCAAGTCCCTCACTGGTCCCCGTATTAGTTATATATGTAACAAGCTCGGTACATATGATTTGTATGCACCAGCTTGAGGGGGAGTGTTAGTTAGTTATGTAAATAATCGTTGTTCTACATGAAATAGGAGTAGTGTAGGTATTGTATATTATTATAAATAGGGGTACTTGTATTATAGTTAATGTACATCAATAATATTCTTTCTCATGTTATTTTCCAGTTATTATTATCTATAGAACGATTATCAGACTAACAATATTATATGGGATGAATGCGATGCACAATTGGCACCAGTTGGTGAGGGAACCAGTTCATTTGGCTATTCATGGTTGTGGAGGTTTCAAAGTCAATTTTATCTGGACAAATTTAAAATGCAATGTTAAGGCACTTCTCTAGTAGAAATTGAAATTGCCTTGGGAAATCTGCACCATTTCCGGCAGCAGTAGAAACATGAAGAATTTGAATATCTGATGGTCAGCATGAAGAATCTGAATATCTAATGGTCATACTTAGAAACAGCATTGTTGTTGATGGTGATTTCTCAAAGAATCCACCTGTTTGAATTGAGGATAACTTTTAATGTGTCTTCAAGGTCATTTTTGGCAGAATTACTACGGCCTCAGTTCTAGTTTAACAACAATGAGTCTTTTTATTTGAAAAATATTGGAGCTTCTTAGTTCAGTAGGTCTTTAGAGGGACCTCCCGTGCAATTCCTTTTTCTAGTACAGTTAAATCACATTATGTCAACGAAGTGCCTGTTTATTTCCACTTTACCCCTCACTTTATTTCCCTTGAGAAGTAATTTTGTAGCTTGAGCCCAAAACAACGTCCCTGTCTGCTTCCATTGGCCGCATGTTGCCTACTCTGCTCGCCCCTGTTGGATTGAATAATCAGAAAGAGAGGAGTTATGAAAATGATAAGAGAGGAGGTCTGGGAATTTCAGAAACTAAAAGAGAGTTGTTTTGTTAAACTAGATTGAAGTTGCTTATTTTCTCGTGTCATTTGCCTTTACCTGCAGTTTTGAGTAGTCTGAAATAATGGTCAGAGAAATGTAAATAAGAAAAGATGAGAACTTGCCTTACAAATGTGAAATTGTTACATTTCTGTACTTTGTTTGACTCAAGCTGACGTTACTTTCTTTTTCCTGTTCCCAGTCCAAGCGAAGGTCGCTAGATCTCATCTGAATTGTTGAAATTTATCTACAACAACCTACGAGTTGTGCGTGGAGCTCTTGTAACTATTGGAAAGCAAAAACATACTAGTAGAATATTGTTGTTTATCCACATGTATTAACTATTACTTGTTTTCTTGGTACATGGAGGCGTTTATTATCTCAATGAGGAGTGTTTTGTGAGTAAGGTGGAGATGTTCACCCACTGGGTGCTTCTTGGGTGCTCATCTTTGTAGGTGATAGATAGTAGCATTTCCGACTTCTATACATAAAGGATTTGTATGTAACTAGGGCTCCTTTTGGCAAGTTGCTTGGTATGGTGATGAGCAAATGCTTTGCTACAATACGTAGAATTAATAATATATAGCTTTTGATGATTATAACTTGGAGTGTTTGATTGCTCCTACTAAAATTATGAGTTATATGGCTGCTACACGATAATGTTTCAGTTTGCAACTCTTTTATCTTCTTTTCAACTCTTTTATATCTTTTATATTTGTACCTTTTTTAACAATTTCCATATTAACAATCACTCAACCACTATTGAATAATACATAATATGATGGTACTATTAGTTCTAGTTTTCTTATTTAGATCTTTGGATATCAATCACCCTTACATAATTACCAAACAACCCCTTAGAGGCAAACACTAGGAGCAAAACCACTTTGCAACATCGGGCTTCATCTGATCAACATTTTACTACTAGCTTTTTTCGTAATTTTTTAAGGGAAAATAGCAATTTTAGTTCCTCTGTTATTGATTAACATCAGTTTTAGTCCAAGTATTATTTCACTAACCAGAATTAACTTTCAATTAGTTGAAAAGTGTGGTTTTGATCCTTAAAGTTGATGGAACTTGAATATTTATCGGAATTATTATTTGAAAATTTCAAAAATAAAGTTTAGGGGATTCGAAACCATTGATAGACCTACGGAGGTTGTCTACCATCTACTTATCACTTCCAAATGTGAATGTATTTGACCTTAGTAAGTTGATAATTAGTAATCACTGGAAAAGAGAGGGAGAAGCCAATGAGCCAAGATCAGAGTAAACGGAGGAGCAAATGGGCTCAATTTATATTGAGATTTTTACTTTCCTGTACACTATTTGAAATCTTATTATCCTCCCTACTCAAGTTTTAATTTAATTACATGGTCATATACAATTTACCAATTATATACAAGGAAATTTTACCTCCTATAGCAAAGTTAACACCTTATTTATTTTAAATAAATACCCTTTTAAAAAATTATATTCTATAGCTACCTTTTAATTTTTATAGCAAAATATCTATTTATGGTTACCTCCTACCCTTAAGCCATTAAATACGCTATGTATTATTTTTTTCTCTCCTTTCAGATTTTTCTCTCACATAATTACCGTATTTGATGTAAATTTCTCTCTCCACGTTCTCTCTCTCCAATTTCATACACACATCGCCATTCTCTTTCCCATTCTCAGAAACCATGATTCTTCACTTCCAATTTCTCTCACTCACATCGCAATTCTCTTCCCCATTCTCATTCACCACAATTCTTCACTTCTTCATCTGCATTGTCTCTCTCAATTTTCTATATTTTTTGCTCCAAATAGTTGTGGTAAGTATTTAAGTTGTTAGATTTTCGCTTGTATTGTGTTTCTTCTGTTTATCTCTACTATTTTTTTTATAAATAATAACCATTGTTATGCTTTCAATAGAAAACTTGAGATTTCCTCTCCAATGGCTGATTCAACATCCCAGAAGAGGGTTACCAGAGGTATACCCACCAAAGTACTCAATTTCGATGGGCCCTCTTTCTCTTTGCAAATCATTCAAGCGGAATTGAAATTTGCAGATTCATCAGCAAATACAGTTGCAGAGAGGAGAACAAAAATGCGCAATGACACATTGAAAGAAGCCTAAGTTAAGAAATCTTCGAAAGAATCAACACTTCCCGATGCGGAAAAGAGAAGAAAACCTATGGATGATGCTTCATGTGTTAAGGGAAAGGAGGTCGATGCAAGAACTAGCTCAGATACACGGGACGAAAAGGTAATTGTTGATGTATCTATATGTATTTGAGTCCTCATACATTGAGTATTACCTTCTCCAATGGGTTTCTCTTATTGTATGTTATTGTATTTATATGTGTGCAATAGTGGATACATCGCTTTCTCTTCTTGATGTACTTATCCTTGATGATGTTGGTGTTTCATAAGTTAATTGGTTTGGTATACTTGATGTACTTAATCTTTCTTTTACTATTTCTAAGTCTTCTTCCATGTCAATTTCTTTATAACTATATTCATTATTATCAATAACTGTAACTATTCTTTCAAATGGATTTTCTATTTTTATTTTATTAATTTTATTTTTTGCTGCTATTTTATGTTTTGTTGTTAAAACGTATAAGTTTTTACATCTAGCTGTAAATATCTTACTTCCAGGTGTTAATTCTATTCCTGACATTTTCCAGTATAATACTATGTATTGCAAAAGATTTATGAAATCTTTTGTAATTCTTGTTGTATGCAGGAAATAAAACTATTTGTGAAACACCCGCCTATTTCATCACCACATTTCAGTTCATATACTAACACAAACACAGTCTCCGACCTCAAAGAAAAACTTACTCCAAAGCAGTACAAAATATTTGGTACTACTTGTTTTGGAAGTTTCCTTGATATGAAGCGTTGTGAGGTCCAACATCAATTGTTCAGGTGCTTCATGGTTCTGCAGCTGGAAGGAAGTCATGATGATTCATTTTCAATATACGTCAATGGTACAACATTATCCTTTTCAATCAGGGAGTTTGCGCTTGTCACAGGTCTCAATTGTGTTGGTGACCCTGAAGATTTTCAGTTTAACACAAAGGTGCCTAACATGATTGTTGATACATACTTTGGCGGTGCAAAGAATATCAAGAAGAAAGATTTGTTGAAATGCTTTGATGACAAGAATTGGGGTCATGACAATGATGGGGATGCCATCAATATAGTTGTGTTGTATTTCATACACACTTTCATATTTTCCTCCGAGAAGAACAACACAACAATCCCAAGACTACATTTTGACTTGGTCGAGAGTGAGAGATATTCTGATTATCCATGGGGTAAGGATACATTCCAATACCTTATTAAATCTATTAGCAAGAAGATGGATTCTCAGAAGAAGTACTATAGGATTGCTGGGATGCCTCTCGCTATGCAAGTGTGGTTTTACGAGTGCTGTTCAAAGGTTGACCCAAAAATAACACTGCGAGTTGATAACCGGATACCCAGAATACTCAATTGGAAATCCACTGTCATCCAGCCAACTTATGCTTATCTGATGAACGATATGTTCAATGACCAGGGAAACATGGTAATTTACTATTCGTTAAGTGGCTGATATTTTTTTTAAGAATATATTTCTGTTAGTGAAATCATTTGTTGAAATTTTCATTGAAATATAGTTCAATGCATCATACATCAATGTCCCTGTTTCAAAATTAGGTCAAATACTGTACAATACATAATACAGTGTTAGAATTAAATATTAAATACAGTTGCATACAACCTACATCTTATTTCCCTGTTTTTCAAATTAACTGGAATACAATAGAATACAGAAAATAGTTTACAAATACATATTTAATTCAATGAGCATAATTTTGTAAACAACAAAGGTCGTTCACTTTGAGTGTATTTCTATTTTCAGATTATTTACAATAACATTCAACCAAGCGATATAGAGCTTGTTGTTATTCAAATTCCTCCAGAAGGCGTTGATGTAGAGAACAGTCCTACTCATTCAGACAACAATGAAGATGATTCAGATGACTTTAGTCCTACACCGCCTCTTCAGCCTAAGAAGAAACATGATGCAATTGTTGGTCCATCTTCATCACCGCCTCACAAAAAGCGCAAATAGCAGATTATAGATCCCTCAAATGCAGAGAGTCCAATTCCACATGTGTCGTCAATACCTCAATCCAAGATTCCTCCTGCTGGCATAGCTGAAATTAAAGAAACTGTATTGCATGTTAAGAAACCAACAGATTCTAAATCAGATGATTTGTCTTCTTTGGGGAAGGATCTAAATTCATTCAAGGATTATGTGAGTATTGTTAAAACATATTCAACTTTACAGTTTATGTATTAACTTTCATATAGTTTTCCAACACCTCTCTAATTATTTGTGTATTGATTAGGTGATGGGCGAGTTCACTTCTCTACGAACATTGATCAATGAAAATTTCAAAAAGCTTTCTGACCAGGTTAAAGCCAATCAGAATACAGAAAGGGTATACCAGAGAAAGAAATATGCCGGGAGAAGTGATGATGATATTCAAATACCATCTGATGCCAACTTGCAAGATAATCCCAAATGCCAAACACAGAGCGATATAGCTGTTGGCGAGAATTCAGAGGTTAACATTTTTTAACCTCTTTAGTATATGTTTATATAACTATATTCAGAATATATATTGTAATTTAGTTTCTGCTATTATTCAGTTTAATCATCTATACAACAACATACACATTATAGAATACAAGTATATACATGCGACTTCAGTTATACATATGTATTCATGATTATCTAAATACAGATTTTAAAACATCTTTTATTATTCTTCAGTTTACTCATGTATACTGTAACATACATATTACGGAATACACTTATATACATGTGAATTCAGTTTTACATTTGTTTTTAGGGTTTTCTAAATACATTTTCTATAACAGCCTTCACTATTATTTTAATTGAACCATGTATGCATCAACATACATGGTTCATAATACACTCATATACATATGTATACATTAACAGAATACACGTCTGAAAAACATGTGCTATATTAATATATTCTATTGGTTATATTATTAGGCCATGCAAAGGAAGCTGAACACCGACATTCATGCCGATCAACACCCACATGCTATTTCAACCGAAGACACGTTAAATGCATCTACAGAGGTTAATCCTGTTTGTGGTGAAGTAAGAATGGAGGGGAAAACTACATCTGAGGTGTCGTGTACCATACCACCTAATGACGAGGGTGTATCCAGAGAAGTACATGTATCACAATTTGAGTTGGCGGATAAGTTTCTTCCAAGTCAAATTCCAGAAACTAGAATTGTGATACATCATGTAGCAAAAAATGTTGATTCAACCCCTTTACCCTCTCATAGGAATCGGCGTCCAAGTCGATGGTATTCTTCGCCTTACGAGTCAAACTTCGACTCCGCTGGTTAGTAAATTATTAAACAAAAACTATGTATTATAAAGTTATGATCTATTTCCCCATGATATCTATAATTAAATGTCTCTATTAATGTCTTCAATAAACAATAGGTACCTCAGTAAAGTTGACTTCCATATTTGACAAAACATATCCCTTTGAAGATGATTTAA